ATATATTCAAATAGAATAATTAAAAATTATCCATAATGAAGCTGGTGTAAGAATTTTACTTTGTATCACTTCTTGTTCTTAATTTTACGGATCTTTTAGGTTGAATTCGTTCATTGTTAAAAAGGATTCGGTCATAGAATTTTAAATAATAAAAGGAGTTCCATATGTTAGTACTTTATTGTCAATTGCTAAATTATTGATATTAATATTATACTTGAAATCTTCCATTTATTTGGAGGATTTGTATCAATAAAACATACTTTACCATCTTGAGTACTAATATATTTTTTATGAAAATGATTAATAATTTCAAATTTATTATCTGTAATTTATATTAAAGTCCATTTTTCTTTATTTGTATTAGGGTTAGGCTTTATAGCAGTTAAAAATAGTATATTAAAATTAGTTTTAGCATTTAAGCTATAACCTGTTTTATAATTCCGAATATAAAATTCATAACTAAAATTGAGGATAGGTCTTTAAATTTAAATTTAATTTTCGAATTCTTTCTGTTAGGGGATTAATTAAAAATAACTTCCATTAGAAGCAAATTCTTAAAATGAAATTTTATCATCTATAATTGTTAAATAAAATTGATTTTCAGCATTTATTAAGACACATGGTTATTTTTGAATTAAATTATCATTAAGTTTCTTAAAAGTTTAAGATGAAATAATTTCTAAATTTGTTTATTAAACTAATAAAGGTGTCTTTAAAAAAGGTTAATTTTGATTGTTAAAAATTTCTATAAACTCTCCGAACCTTAATGAATAATCTTATTAGATGTTTTATTTTTAATCGTTACTTTTAATTTACCAAAGAAAATTTTTATCACATATTTCGGCATACTTTAATTAATCTTTTTTCTCAAATGCTAAGTATTTATTTTTGAGCAAAGATTTGATATAATAAAAGTTACTTTAGGAATGCTAATTTAAATTCATTATGAGGTGTATAAATACAATTTAAATTATCTAATAATAAAAATATGTAAAAAAAATATAATTCTATAACAAATATGTACTTTTTATATTATTAAAAAATTTTATACTAATTTTGTCATATGCAGTCGTAATTGTTAATTAGAATAAAAATAGGAATAAATTTAAGTAACTTTGAGTATGAATGCAACTCTTGAGAACTATAAATAAACCTTATGCTTATCGATGCAATATTTTAAAATATTACTTAATTTTTATAAATTATTAATGATATAATTGTATATAATAAAGTAATTAGGAAAGGTTAATATAGTAGACTATAACAATGCTGGTTATAATTCTTATGGATGAGAATACTTTGTTCCAAATGGTGGCATTTATCATTATTAAATATATGGAGTGAAAAATTTAGTGATTGCATTGCTTCCGATACCTGCATGAGTGATATTATTTTTTGCTTGTTATCCAACAACAAAGTTTTGGCTTATATTTCCAAATGTTGTAATTTCTTTAATTTAGTAAATATAACTATTCCTTTTTTTAATTTATTATAAGATTACTTTGTTGTAGGATAGTATTATAATATCAGCATAAGTAGATGTATGCAAAAGTTATGATGTCTTATTTACATGATGATCCTGATTTATTATTTAACGTCCCTATATTTAATAATTAAGTAAATTAGAATATTGTTATTGGAGGAGTTCCTTATTTTATTCCAAATGGAGATTATGTTAGAAATAATGAAAAAGATTAAGTTAGGTGAAATTATATCTATACAAATAATAATATCATTATTTTAGTTTTGGTCTATGTGAGGTACTACCTCTTTAAGTAATTTATGAAGATAGAGTAAAAAGTGATAATTATGATAACTATGATTTTAGATGGGTGGAAGTGCTTGAAATTCTTTTTTGCTATTGTTGAGGTGGTCTCTATGACAATTCCCGATTTGTAGGACTACTATGTTATAATTGTAATATTTTTTAAATCTAAATATAATTAATATGATTAACATAATTCTTATCCATTAAAGACCTTTCTGATAATAAAGTTCTCAAAGTTGGATTGTTATCTTAATTTCGTAATGATGGAGCTTTTTTGAGCAAAGTTTAAAAACTTTTTCTAAGTAAGGCCAGTGTTGCTGCTGTTGGAGTTGTTCCAGCTAAAGATTTTGGTTATTTTGGAGTTTTCATAGCTAATTGATTATCTATATCTTATAAATTAAGTTGTAGTTATTTCTTAGGTGAGTTCTAAGTACTATGATGTCCAGCACTAAATAATTAATTACTTATTCTTGGAGAACTGGCAGACTTCAAAGATTATTTTACTGAATTACATTTCTTCAATTAATTTGGATTTACATTAGATTATTTTTCATTTAATACTAGTTTCTATTTCTTCTCTATTATCATATCACTTGAAGCTCTATTTTTGATATTTTATTATTTTGATTCTATTAAAAATTAATCTTAATAGATAGGATTAATATAATGGAAGAATTCAAATAAATCATCTTAAGGTTTTAAATCACCAGTTTCATTTTTTGAATTAAATTCTGCAACATCTACTTTTAAGAATTCTCCATGAATATGAGTTTCATAAATATCAATTTGAATAGGCATTTCAAATTGTTTATTTTTAATTGTTTCCCAATTAACATCATTTAACCATTTATATTTCTTCAAAATTTTAAAATCTTTGATTCTTTTACTGACATCTTTTTATAATAAATCAATTAATAATTCAATAACTTCTTCAGTAAGATCATCAGGTAACTCTAATTCTTCATTAATTATCTTTTAAAAGATCTCATCAGTGTTTTAAGAATAATGTGGAGGTAACCCCAACAATAATTCATGTAATAAACAACCCAAAGTATAAAAGTCTGCTGGGTATGAATATCCTTAACGACTAAATTAGTCAGTAATCTTACCTAACAATTTCTGGAGGCATGTATTCAGGTGAACCACAGAAACTATGAGTAACATCTTCATTCATCAAGTCTAATTTAGATAGACCAAAATCTGTCAATTAAATATGACCTCTAATATCTATCAAGATATTTTCTGGCTGTTATATTATAATAAATAATATTATCTACCTTTAAATCTCTATAAAGCACTTTATGCTTATGCAACTCTTCTAATGTACAAATTACTTCACAAAAATATTTTTTTGCTTCATCTTCTGTAAATCTATAATTTTAAAGATGAAAGAACATTTCCCCTCCTGGACTGTATTCCATTAAGAAGCACAAATGTTCTTTTGTTGCAAAAGTTGCATACAATGGTACAATAAATGGACTCTAATTTAATACATTTGATAATATTTTCTTTTCTCTTAATACTTATTCTAAACGTCTGCAATCTGTAATGTAATGCTTTTTTATCATTTTTAATGCATAAAGTCTTGCATTCCCTTTATGTCTTATCAAATATACTTCAGATGTTCCTCCTTTACCTATGCATTTTTCAAATACAAAATCTTTCAAACTCAACTATCCTGTTTATTATTTATAAATTCCCATCAACCACTCATTCTACTTCAATTTATTTAATTGAAATAAACCTATTCATTATTATTTAATACTCCTGTCTTCTGGTCTTGATAAAATATAATCTAATGTTAAAGCTCCTGATACAGTTTTTAGTCCAATCAGTTAAGCTGGATTCGGAGTCAAAGGATGTTCTTTTATCTAATTCTTTAATTTATTATTACTCTTTTGTAAAGATCACTTAAAGTAGCTTCATTTGCCATCTCAATTAGTATTAACTTATCTTATAATTTTAGATTAATTGCTCTTGTCATTTTTTTATCAATTTTATTTTATTATATATTTTTAATCATTTTGATAGCCATTTCCTATGTTATCTAGGAAAGTGATGCTATTTCCAAATCTATTCATTTCTCTTTACATGTTTCTCATTCATTCTTTCTATAAATCTCATCTCTGATTAATCCTTATTCATGAAAATATCCTTTACATCATTCTCCATATCTTCATGCTCCATTATTCTCATAGCCTCTATATGCATAATCTAATTGTCTTTAAATTTACTATAATTCATTTTTACTAATTCCTTCATCTTCTCCTCCTCCTATTATTTCTTTTCATATCTTCTCTTCAATTATAATAACTTACCCTCCGCATTCACTATTGACATTAATTTATTCTCTCTATCAGTATCTTCTATTATTGAACTAAATTATGATTATTCAGTTGCAATCTAATGAAACTGTTTTAATTTCTCTTTTGCTTCTAATCTCTTTAATTCATTCAGTAACTATCTTTTCCTTTTACTCATCAAATCTACTTATTATTTCTATTCAAATACTCTTGTCATCAAGAATTTTATCCACCTATTTATCTAAACATACGTTCAAATAATCTTTTGACTTCTTTATTAACAGGTCTTCTCTTAAATGATTCTCTAAACTCTGTTTATTTTTTGGACCAAACAAAGAAAGATTGGCAACCTTAGACAGATTTAGAAGAGCCTAATCAGAAAGACTTTTTTAATAAAGAGGATTCTAAGTCTTATCCATCTCCATAAAAAAAGCAGAACTACCAAAATTATTCTTTATTTCTGGCAATTAAGATTTTAAATAAGCTCTATTTTATTTCATAGGTTTAGTTAGATCTCTTTTCATTTCAGTTCGCATTGTATCCCCTAATTCTGTAATCAAAAGTCTATTCATTTATATATAATATATTAATAATCAATCAGTATTTATTGTGTTACAACATTAATTTTATTATATTCTTGTTCTTATAACAGATATACTTTTAATTATAAACACCCTTGTATATATTGTAAAACTAGGGAAATTAATATTAAATCTATTCAAGCTTTACTAAAATCATCAATCTCATCTTTATCTCATTCTTAAATCAATTTGGTTTAGTCTTTAAAACTATCAATACACCTGTTTCAATTATCATTTACAATAGATCAAATTGAAGGATAAGTTATGTTTTCTTTTAGTCTTTCAAACTAAAGACATGTTTTGTTTAATTCTGCTTCTTCTTTCACTATGTTTCGCTAACATAAATTATTTGAGTTACTTACTTTTTTGATTAATAAATTAATCTCAATCTTTTGGAAATTATTTATTGTCATTAGAATCAAATTTGAATTTAATATTTGACTTTCTTNATGAAAATATCCTTTACATCATTCTCCATATCTTCATGCTCCATTATTCTCATAGCCTCTATATGCATAATCTAATTGTCTTTAAATTTACTATAATTCATTTTTACTAATTCCTTCATCTTCTCCTCCTCCTATTATTTCTTTTCATATCTTCTCTTCAATTATAATAACTTACCCTCCGCATTCACTATTGACATTAATTTATTCTCTCTATCAGTATCTTCTATTATTGAACTAAATTATGATTATTCAGTTGCAATCTAATGAAACTGTTTTAATTTCTCTTTTGCTTCTAATCTCTTTAATTCATTCAGTAACTATCTTTTCCTTTTACTCATCAAATCTACTTATTATTTCTATTCAAATACTCTTGTCATCAAGAATTTTATCCACCTATTTATCTAAACATACGTTCAAATAATCTTTTGACTTCTTTATTAACAGGTCTTCTCTTAAATGATTCTCTAAACTCTGTTTATTTTTTGGACCAAACAAAGAAAGATTGGCAACCTTAGACAGATTTAGAAGAGCCTAATCAGAAAGACTTTTTTAATAAAGAGGATTCTAAGTCTTATCCATCTCCATAAAAAAAGCAGAACTACCAAAATTATTCTTTATTTCTGGCAATTAAGATTTTAAATAAGCTCTATTTTATTTCATAGGTTTAGTTAGATCTCTTTTCATTTCAGTTCGCATTGTATCCCCTAATTCTGTAATCAAAAGTCTATTCATTTATATATAATATATTAATAATCAATCAGTATTTATTGTGTTACAACATTAATTTTATTATATTCTTGTTCTTATAACAGATATACTTTTAATTATAAACACCCTTGTATATATTGTAAAACTAGGGAAATTAATATTAAATCTATTCAAGCTTTACTAAAATCATCAATCTCATCTTTATCTCATTCTTAAATCAATTTGGTTTAGTCTTTAAAACTATCAATACACCTGTTTCAATTATCATTTACAATAGATCAAATTGAAGGATAAGTTATGTTTTCTTTTAGTCTTTCAAACTAAAGACATGTTTTGTTTAATTCTGCTTCTTCTTTCACTATGTTTCGCTAACATAAATTATTTGAGTTACTTACTTTTTTGATTAATAAATTAATCTCAATCTTTTGGAAATTATTTATTGTCATTAGAATCAAATTTGAATTTAATATTTGACTTTCTTATATCCTTCTTCTTAGCTGATAATTTAATACTCTTATCTATCCTTAAAATTGTTATTTCAGCACTAGATCTAAAGAACCATACTTATAATCATTTACTTAAATTTAAATAGATTTATCATGGCAGAAATTTATTTTGTTGATTAAATCTTTGAATCTTTAATATCTTTAGAATAACAATTAGCACTTCAGAAATTGTATTATAGCAATTAATTCATTGATTCTAGAGTTCTTGAATAATTATCTAAATGGATACTAAATGGCTGATAAAATTACACTGAGTAGAATATAAATAAACAATTATTCTAAACACTTTTATCTATAAAATGAATTATTTACTAATTTCTATTTTATTGATAAGAATAATATTGATTAATTATTAATGAAAATATATTTAATTTTTTCTACCAGTATTTTATCTAATCTTTAAGGTTCAAGATTTATTCATTAAAATATTTGAAATTGCAGTAGTAAGATTTACATTATTATTGCTTAGATCATAACCTTAGAAGCATTTAATTAATAATAAAATTATTTAAATAAATTCAGAATATTAAATCCATTTTTTAGATTAGTTCTTTCATTGTGAATTTTTCCTCTTTCATTTATTCACTTACTCTAACTATTTCTCCATTTTTATTAATAAGTAAGATCCTATCATAATGGATATTAACCATCTTATATGCTTAGATATCATTTAATCTATCTCCCATTCCTCCTTGGATTGTTCCAGTTTTTCCTATTGAATAAATTAAATCATTCAACATTTATGATTTAAGAATATCTGTTTATTTTTTAATCACTTCAATAGTAAATGCTTCTAATAATTCTTAAGGTGATAAAAATAATGGACCAAAAGGTAATTGAATACCATCTTACACTTAACGAATTAAATATTCTTTTGTGTTTTCATACTATACCATTGATCTCGCAGACATGTATAAAATTAAATAGTTCTTTTAAGCAAGTTTGCTGTAAAATAAACAAATATCATCTTAAGTGTAATTTATGCCAAAAGTAGATAAAATCATTCCTTTAGCAGGTGATTTTGTTATTGTTCCATCTATATCACTAATAAAAATCTTTTGATTTTATTCTATCTTATATAATTCACATTCTATTTGTTATAACCCTAATCTCTTGCAATCTAACTTATATATTATTTTATTTAATCCATTTTTTAAGTTCATACTAATTAATGTTTTGCAAGTTGGTATTCTTGATAATACAATAAATTAAGATTAACTTGACAACTTAAATTCTTACTATTCCTACTATTTCTACTAATTTAATTTCATCTAATCATAATATTTTTATTTAAGCTCAATAATATCTTCTTATTCATGATATGCAAAATGTCCAATCTACTCATCATCTAAATAAAATTAAATATCATCTCTCTTTTCTCCATTTATAAAGAGTACTAATTTTATTAAATTGATCTATTTTATTACAGATTACTCTCTTATATTCAAAACTATATATTATATTTATTATTTCATACTCTCTGTATCTATTATTTATTCTGCATTTAAAAATTTAAGTTTCCCAAATTTTACATTAAAAGGAGTAGATGAATAATTGTTATTTCCTTAATCAACAACCACAATATCTGTCACTCCTGAAAATGCTGCCTACTCTTACACTCTATTTATACATTTGTTTTATATCTCATCTTAGCCAAACTGTTTAAAATAGATGTCATTAATATAAAGAAAAAAACAAAACTTTTTAATGACTTTATATTAATCATTTTGTAAACCGATTGAAAGATCTCAATTTCTCTATCAACTTAATAAAATCTAAATGCTAAATGGGACTTAAGCATTAAGTAAATTAATTTACTGTTTCTTCTACATCTTATTACAAGGTTCTTAAATTTTTGATATCTTAATTGAATTTTAATAATAATCTATCATAATTGTTGTTAAGTATACTATTAAGATAATTTCCGATGATTTAACATTTTATCTACTGTTGGCAATATTTTGTAAACTTGATTATCATCTACTAACTTGGCTTCTTTCTTTACTATTTCCACATAATGATTAAAATCTTGATCATCTACAAATAAGTGACTGTCATATACAATTCTGTATGTCTTTATTCCAACTCATTAATAAAAGACCATGATTCCCTTTCAAAAAGTTCTTTTAAATATTTTTTACTGCATATTTGAAATAATCTCTTCTCTTAATTCCACATATTCCATATCTCATCTATTATTTAGTTGAATTCTTACAAGATATGAATCCAATATCAATTAGGCTTAATCAGAACTTTAACATTCAATAACCTAATCTATTGCTGCAGAATTCCCTATTATCATACTATTTAATATAGGATGCGACTGTAAAATTTAAGTCAAATATTCAAATGATTAACGGGTGGTTTTCTTATATTCTGATATTTATTAATCTAAATCTGAAACCTATATATAAATTACATTATATCATACTTTTTTCTCCAACAATTTTATATAAAATTTTTTTCTTAGTCTTGACATCTTTGCACTTTACCGGCCTTTTTATTTCATTTATATTTGGTCGTTGTTACAATTTAACATTCCATTCAACTTATCTTATTTTTGAAACTCTGAACAACTCTCAATATCTAAATCCTCAGGAAAATCTTCATCTAACAATTTATCACCTTCTACACTTAATAATGAAACTATTTTCTTTATATAGGCATTCTTAACATTTCCTTTAATTTCTTAGAGATGTTATGCATCTTCCCTTGTATTTACTGGTGGTATTACTTATATGGTTTTAAATGATTTTTTAATCTTTTTACTATCTTAGTTCACTTAAGTTTGAACCATAGGATTGAGTATCATTAAACTTTGTAAATTCAAAATAGATTATTGTTCATGCAATTATTGTAATAGTCTAACATTTTAAGCCAACATTTAGTCCTAAGTAATAGCTTATTACAGAATATTTGGTATAGATTATTATGTTCCATATGAATGAAGATATTAATCAATATCTTCTAATGATTGATTATTATTCATTTTATAATATTAATTAATTAATCATCTTCTTTTTGCATATCCCTTGTTTGGCATAAATTCATTCAAATCATTCTTTCCATAATTATTATACTAACGCTTCGGATTATACATATTCTCTTTGTTTTCATTATTAAATGGAGAAGATCTTTCTTAAGGTTTACTCTTTTTAGAATTGTTGTTACATTATAAAAATACCTATCCAAATTATTCATTCAAAGGTTCCTTTAAATCATTCTTACTGTTTTTCTTAATATATTATCTACATATATTCTAATCTTCATTCGATAACTCTCCCAATATTTAAGTTAACTTATTACATGGAACTTGATTAGTATTTTATAATAATGTCATCAATTAAGAATTTTTAATTGATAATAATGTTTCCAAATTAGAAACATTATAATCCATTTTCAAGGCTAATATTACAATGTTTGTAACAAGAGGATAAAGTTATTCATCCAATTAATTTTATAATAAGGAATTGATTGTTTATTCTAAAGATTAATGTGATATTCTATTTTCATTCATTAATTGATATAATCTATTCAATAATGGAATTACTTAGAGTAATTACTTATCTTAACTATGTAATCTAATTGTTATCAATAACAATTGAATTGATTAAGGAATTTAATGACAAAATTGATTATATATTTAAACCCCATTATAAAATTATTGTTGATTAAGACAAGATTCTAAAATCAATTATAATAACGATTCATCAGGAGTAATTTAAAAAGTAATCATAGTTTATACTGTCTCATTGAGTCTTTTCATATTACCTCTTCTACAATGTCCTTTTAATAAGGTACTAAAAGTAATTAAGTCTGGTTTAATAGTAGATTCAACTAATTCTTAAAATAATTTGTCAGCTTAATTAAGTAATCCATTTTTTACTAATCCATCTAATAATGAATTATAAGTAATTAGATTTGGATAAGTCTTAGAAGATTGTTTCATTAAATTAAAATATTTCATAGCATCTTCAGTCTAATTTAATTTACAAAATCCTTTGATTATAGTTGTATAAAGTACAGTATTGATTGGTAGGTTTTATGATTTCATTTAATCAATGAATTATAGAGCCTGATCCAATCTATCATTTCTAACACATGCATCAACTAAACAACCATAAGTAACATCATTTATTGGAATCTTTTTTTATTTCATTTCCTCAAACATTCTAAATGCTCCAATCAAATCATTCATTTTTCCATATGCTTTAATCAATATACCATAAGTTACAGATGATGGTTCAATTTGTTTAGTTATCATCTCTTTAAATAATTCCATACCTTTTTAAATCTCATTAAATTTAACACAAGCATCAATCAAAGAATTATAAAGAATTTCATCAGGTTTAAATTGACCTGTCTCTTAGATCTATTCTAAAAGAGAAATAGCCCTTAACAATTCATCCCTATTTGAATGATTAGTTTTAATTCCATTAACTAAGATACTATAAGTAAAATTATCTGGAAAAATGCCATATTGTTTTCTCATTTCTTCAAAGTATCTCCAAGCAATATTCATTTTATTACATTTAACACAAGAATCAAGTAATGAATTGAAACTAATTCTATTTGGTTTTATACCAATTTATTTCATTTCTTCAAATAAATTTATAGCTTCATTCAATCTTTTCTTTCTTCCACATCCTTTTATTAATGTATTATATGTGATTTCATCTAATTGAATAGTTTATGATTATTTCATTTCATTCAATAACTAAAATCCTCGATTTAAATCTCCAGCATTTATACAAGCATCAAGAAGACAATTATATATAATTTAATCTGGTTAATTGGATTATTTATATTCATCAAATAATGAAAATGCCAATCTTAAATCCATATTATCTGAATTTTTTAATCCATTAATTAGTGTAGTGTATGTAAAATTATCAGGTTTTGTTTAAGTTAATTTAAGATTTTCAAAAGTCTTCCATGCTTTTTCCTTCTAATTATTTTTGAAGTACTAATCAATCATAGTATTGATAGTAACAATAGTAGGCTAAATTTTAGCTTAATCTCTCATAAATATAAGTAGATATTCTGCCATTTAAACTTGAGATTTTCTGAAAGCATAATCAATTAATTTATTAAAAAATATATCAGATGGATGTAAATTGATTACACCCTCGTATAATACTTAATTGAAAATTTGTTACCATTAATTATTAGTACCACTTAATTCAATTAATTATCTCAAAAGCATATCACATATTTTCTAAGCAGTTTTTTCGAATTCATCTTTCAGTGAGTCTTCAATTTATAAATTTAGTTTTAACTTCAATAATTCCCAACATTCTGCTACCAATCCCCAATATAATAATTGATGTGTATGACAATAAATAATAAGAGGAAAATATTATATCTAATTATATTATTCTAATTCCTCTTTAAAAATCATTGTTTCCAAAAGTTAATGTATTTCATGTAATGCATAAAATCCTTCTTGAGATCCAATCCTAGATGACACACTAAAAATCATCTTGATTATTTATCTACTGAGTAAATAATTTTTGCTTGTCAATATTGCTGTCAATCCAACAATTCTTTATTTTAAATATTCTTTCTCTTATTTTACAATAACTTCTATCAAATGAGTTATATAACTTGATTTAACCCAATCAAGATCTTCAAATTCATCTAAATATGAAAGAATATCAGGAACATTATTTGAAGTCAAATATTACTCTAATCTCGTTTAGCATATTACAGCTTAATTTGTTGAGAGCGATGATTATTTAGTTGGTCCTACTTAAAAACATGAGATTTCAATATCATCATTAGTAGAATGACTAATTTCGCCAGTACTAATAAAAATGTAAAGAAAATCAATACTTTGCACTCCAAGGTGTTTATTAACCAGAACTTCTTGTAATTATTTTTTATTAAGACACAGAATTGCGAATTATATTTGGATCAATGTTTTCTTAATTGTGAAGAGTATCAGACTTGTTCATTTACTTAAAAAATATATTTAAATTAATTGAATTCAAATTCTTTTAACTGTTAGTTTTAAATAAATTTATGCGCATAAATATTTCATATTAAATTCTAATTTCCAAATATATTTTTTGGATCTATTTATTATTTAATCCTTCTTAATATTTCTACTCCAGTATCTCCAATTTATCTTTACATAAATTATTTTCTTAATTTACCAACACCTAAATAATAAATTATAATGAATTACCATGATGATGAGAAATAGATCCTCCATTTTTCATAATCTCTTCTCTAGCAGCATCTTCAATTTCAGAATAACATTTAACAGGATCTTCAATTCCTTTATAACCAAATCCAAAATAAACATAAATAGTAGCTCCTGTATCATAAACCTAAGAAATTCTAAATGAAACAAATGGTTCTTTTTCAACTCCTCTTTTTGAACATTCTTCTACTATTCTTCTTTATATCTAATAATAAAAGAGTGTATTACATTTTCACAAACAGCAGGAACATTCTTCCATCCTACAGCAGTTTCGAATGATTCTGCAATAAATTAAAATTACATAGCAAAATCTCTTAAATATGCAATCATATAAGTTAAAAAATATCCTCTTTCTCCATTTTCAGCTCCAGCTCTAAAACCTTTATAAAATTTAGCTAATTCAAAAACTTTTTTTTCTTAAAATTCAACTTCTTATTTAGTTCCCTCAAAAACAACTGTAACCAAACACATTTAATCTGGATCATATTACATATATTATGTAATGAAATATTTTTTAACTTTATCCATAAATTCTTCTCTTTTACTATGAGGCATAGTTTTTAAAGCCATTCCAAATTAAAATTGATTATTATCAACTAATCTAACAGATGCTGGCCAAACTCTACTTCTTGATAATTTGTACATAAATTCAGTACCTAATGCAAAATTATGAAAAAGGATAGATTCATATTTGCAAACCTTAAATAAATAAAATAAAATTACTTCAGGTTATGCTTTAATTTTAATAACTGCTTCTGTAATAATACCAATTGTACCTTCAGATCCTAAAACAATTTAATTTAAATCTGGACCACTACTAACTCTAGGATAATCTAAACTTTAAGATAATGTGCCAGTTGGTGTTACAACTTTAACAGATAAAATAATATCTTCAATATTTCCATATCTATTTTTTTTCATTCCTGAAGCTCTAGTACTTATCCAACCTCCAAGTGTTGAAAATTCAACTGAATCAGGTTCATGTCCACAAACTACTCCATATCTTGATAGTTCTTTTTCTAAATCTTTTCCTGTTACACCAGTTTCTACTAATGCTGTCATATTCTTTCTATCTACCCATCTTATATGGTTCATTCTTGATGTATCTACAGATACAATCATTCTTCTTTCTTCTTTTGGACATTATAATGCCCATGTTACATTTGTTCCTCCTCCATAAACTGTTAACATCACATTATATTCCATTGCTAACTTCACTAATAATTCTGCTTAAGCATGAGAATTTATAAATACTACACAATCTACTATTCTAGCTAATTTACCATGTCTCAATTCATATATCTAAATAATATTATATATATATATACCTCTTACATTGTATGTCCATGTGAATGTAATATTCTTTATCCATTATCAAATGAAATTTCATTAAATTATCCTTTTATTGCATTCATAAATTATTCATTTATTATTGGTGGATCCCCAGGAATTTCATTTTATGCTTCACAATTAAGACTCAAATCTATTCCAACTTTTTATTCTGCCCATTCTTTAAATTTCATCATCTTTTAATTTGAAAATCTGTATTTATTTCCTGTCAATCTTACACCTCCATCTTATTCTAATATAAATTTTGTATCTCGATATCCCCATCCATTATTCTTAAACCATTCCAATTTATTTTATGGTCTCTAAATACCTTTATTACTAATATTTACTTATTCATAATATTATCCTTTGAGCCCAGCTGGTTCCACTATTTGACTCTGTAATAACTAAATACGAATCATATATTAAAATAAAACTTAATCAAATTATTTTTATTTTCAAAGTAAATTCAACTATCTCATAAAATTTAGCAAAGGTTAGCATAAATCATTTTCAAATTGAAATCTTGTATGCGTCATCTCAGGGGGAGTTCTTATAAGGCAAGCACTATTGCATAATTCTAAGCAAAACTTAAAATAATAAATACCATATAGTTTCTTTCCTTACTCAACTGAAACTATGTTATCTTTAACTCCATGTAAAATATAAACAGGAGATTTAACTTATTGAATTTTATCTTTATTAACAAATCTTTCTTTAACCATTTTCTTAACCAAAGGATACTTTTCATTTACAATCTCTTACAACGACAAAAATGGTGAAATCAATACTAAAAGGCCAGGCTGAAATAATGATGCCAAATGACATGCCACTCCTGTTCCTATTGATCTCCCCATTACTATCATATTTTTCTCTTAAACTACAGAATGAAATGCAACATATTTATAAAGATATTCAGCATCTTTTAATATATTCTCCTCATTTGGTTGTCCTTGATAAACTCCGTAACCTGGGTATTCCACAGATAAAACATTCATTTTCATATTATGTCTCAAAAAGTCTACTAAATTATATGAAGACAATAAATCCTCACAATTTGCATGAAAATAAAGTATTGTTTTTTTAGTTGGAATTAAAGCTTTTAAATATAAGCATGGAATTTATTTTGAGCATTTATAATTTTTATTCTTATTTAATGAGTTCAATTCATTAGAATTACTGCTTATACGAGGAGTGATTAAAACTTTCAAATTATTACTATTTATTTTATTATTTAGTACATATTTTACTATCTTTACTATCTACATTCAACCGATATTGTCTAATTCATACGAGGTATTCTTTAACTTGGAAGTTCGTCAACTTAATCATCATATATTGATAGCTAACTAACATCCTAATTTCTTAAATTTCAATACATTTGGAATTTCTTCAGGAGGTTTAAAAGGATCAATTTTATGAAACTAAATTCGAGTTTTTGGGGATGATTAATAAAACTTAAACAAATCATCATAATATGGAATTTTAACAAGTTCCTAAAATAACTAAAATAAAAACTCTCAAATGTTCTTCTCGGTAGGAGTGTTTTGGGGCTGGGAATATCATAAAATTTAATTCCATTGAAATTTAATTTATAATAGAAACTAAAATATGTTTAAATTCATTTTTTTCATTCTTTTCATCAGTGTTCATCTTATTCAAGTTTCCATTAATCTAAGATAATTCAACACTTTACTTTTATTTTATTACTTTTCAAATTATCATTAACAAATTTAAATCCATTCATCAAAAACACTTAAATATTGGCAAATTTCTAAATGTATTTTTAAATTTAAAATCATGTCAATGTAGTAAATTTAAGAAAGATAATACTGAAATTTATTAGTAGAAATTAAATCAAAACTTAGGTTTCTTAAAAAAAATTGAGAAGGATATTGACAAATTTCATGATAAATTTAAAATATGAATTAGAAATAAATAGCCATGCTTTATTTTTGAATTGTTAAAATTACCAATAAGCATGTAATAAATATTAAAAATGAAAAAATTTATGGTCTCCAAGAACTAATAATTTTAATTATTTAGGATTTAAGTAAATTATCAAATTTTAATTTTGTTATTTTAAATATAAAGGTAATATAACTTTTCTTTTTTTCAACAAGATTAACTAATTAATTTTTCTAGATTGAAAATATATTATTTTTTTTTCTATACAGTTTAAAGAAATATTGAGAAGGATCCATAAATTTAAATATACTTTTTTAAGAGTTTAAATAATAATTTGTAATCAATATCCAAAAAAATTTTAGTTAATAATAATTTCAATTAATTTATTTTAACCTAATATTAGGTAAATAAGTAGATTAATTTTATCTAGGAGAAGTATGCTTAGAAAGTAAAGGAGGTAATGTTTTTTATTATTGCTAATTGTTAAATTATTAAGTAGATTTGTTTAATTTCTTTGTAACATATTAATTTAAAACTGAATTTAATCCAGTAATTAAATAAAGTTTTTTTTGAGATTTTGATAATTTCTTTTGAATGCATTATTCATCTGAAGTGAATTTATGTACTAAAGATTTTTTTGGTTTTAGATGATAAAATTCTTCATCTGAATCTTAAGGAGAGTTTACTACTGTAATATTTTAGCTATAGACATATTCAAAGTTAGTAGCCGATTTAAATTTAGGACTTACATGAAATTATTTAGTTGCAATTTACAATACATTAAGAAATGTCAATCTTGGATTATCTATTCTTGTTTTAAATGCTTTTTTCATTCTTTATCTTTATCTATACCTGATATTTTAAACTATCTTATATCTGATTATAAAAATCAAACAATAAACAAGTTTCTTAAAAGTTTTAATATATTTAGAATTTCTGTAACGATCCAATATTTATTACTCTTTTTACTACTCTTTTTTCATTTATTATGTCTCCGTAAATATGTAAATTTTGAAAATTCTCTATTTAAAATTAGATTCTTTCCCACAATCAGAACAACAACAACTAGAATTACCTAATTTTTATGAACTTATATCAAATTTAGTTTTTCTAATTATTCTTGAACTTTTTTAAGGAGACTGAAATAATTAATAAGTTTTGAAATTTTTTGTGCCTTATTTCCTTCTTCTTTATTATGTTTATTCATAGTAAAACTAAACTTTTGTTAGTCGATTATTTTTTTATTTAAAGTTCATTATATGTTATATATAATAAATTTTATTTTTTTTATTGTTTAAGAAACTTGAACCTTATTTAGCACTCAAGCATAAATAGTGTAAAACTATTAAATTAAATACTTATTATAAATCCTCTGAATTGAGTTTTTTCTTTTAAGTAATGAGTGTAAATAAAATTATGTGAATTTTTAAGTATTTTTTATTACTAATAAAGTCAAATTGAGTAATTAAAAAATATTTATTTAAGAGTTTACAAACTTTATTTTAGATTTAAATATATCTGAGCATTTATCTAATTTCATTGAATTGTTCGAATTACTAATAGATGCTAGAAAAGAGATTTTAACTAGATAAGATAAAATATATCAATACAGATTTATAAAATTATATTTTTTTAAGAAAATTAGATAAAACTAATTTTAAGGTTTTTAATGATATTTATGATCTGTAAAGAACCACACGATAAGAATAATAAATAAAATTTAGTCTGTATAAAAGATAATTATTAATACTAAATTATGATTTAACAGATTCGATCTCATTTATCATAGTGTTTATGATTATTTCCATTGATTTATTCAGGTTAAATAATTCTTTGTAGCTTTGGAAATCCATTTCTTGGATTAGGACCATTATCTTTATTTGGAAACTAATCTAAGGAGATATCTATAAATAAATGAAATAAATAACCATTAGGATCCTCTCCTCTATTAATTCTATCTTATTGTTTATAATTAAGTAACTATCTTTTATATGCTTATAATATTTTTTATCCTTTATCCTTAATTTCTTTTTAATCACCAGTAATCGCATCTTATAGATTATATTGATTTATACTTAATATTTATTTTCTTCGAAACAAACTGACATTTAACTTAAATGGAATATGTTTATCCATTCCTTTTTCTAATTGGCCATTACTCATTTCTAAAAAAAATGAGAAAGAATTTACTTTTAAAAAAATCATAAATTGGATTTTTTTCTCCTTAATCTACATTACCACCTTTTTAAACTCCTCTCATTATAGTTAGAAATTCCTTAAATTCAATTTCATTAGTTCCGTCTTCATCAACTTCGCTCATAATTTTTTCCACTTCTTCCCTTGAATTAACTAAGCCTAAAGCAATTAATGGATCTTCTAATTCTTCAATTCCAATAGCACCTGATCCATCTCCATCTAATGATGAAAAATATTTTCTTAATTCAGTAATTTCAGAATCCTTAAAATCAATCCTATCTTAATATCCTCTTTTTATTAACCAGGCTCTTTCTTAAAATCCAGATTAAAACTACACTCAAGATTAATCAGTACAATATATTTGGATGCTTTATTAAAATTAAAAGCTTCTTGTATTTTAGTAAGTTTCTCTTGTTTCTTAACTGATTTAGCATTATCTTAAGGTTTACGACTAGAAAGAGATTTAGATTATTGTTATTTTTTCATGAATAATTGATTATATTAATAAATATTATTTTATAAAGAAATAACTTATATTCATATTCTAGTTATTATTAGAGAATTTCAAATAATGAAAATAATTTTTAAAAATAATATTTTTTTTGATGAAAAATAAATTGGGAATAAAAAACTTTAACTATTATGCTGCTCAAGAATTAGAATCGGATGCCTTTTCAAAATTTTATCAATTGGATGAATTTTTGTTAGAAAAAATTTATATTACTGATGAAAGAGAATAAGTTTATTTAATAAATGCTTATGAAAATATAATAAAGTTAAATCTTCCAAACATTGTATAATACTTTGAAATTGATTATAATGAAAAAGAAAAATGTATTGAAGTTTTACGTAGGTTTTATAAAACTAAATTGTTGGATAATAAAATTAGAAACAAGTTTTTAGTAGTTACAATCACTCAGCAATTGTTTTAAACATTAGCATCTCTTGAAGGATTTGGAGTACATTTATTAGGATTAAAAGCAACAAATATTTTTTTCGAAAATGATAATATTTATATTAGTGGATTTGTTAGATCCGAAAAATTTTTACTTTCCTAACCAATTTTCTAATCTAAACATTTAAGAGGTTTTATCTAGGAATGTATAAATACAAAGAAATATAATATCAACTAGCGATATTAAAGAAAATCTCATGCAATGATTTATTCAGCATTAGCTGTTTTATTGTAATATATTTTGAATGAAGACTTCGAATAGATAGCCAATATTATTAGATGGTTAGATAATGGGGAAGATAATTTAAAAGCAGTACCAAGTACATAAAAATTACTTGGAATTATTGAAGAAAAATATGATTGTATGAGAATATTCATAGAATAAGCCAAATGTTTATTGACTAATGAATTTTTGAATCCTACAGAAGATCTAGCAATTTAAATGATGCTTTTAGCTTCTGAATTAAGATTTGAGAATAATATCATTGTTTTAGGAGAATATTATAGCTTAAATTAAAAGGAAGAAATAAAATAATAATAGCAAAGTTCTAAAATTCAGGAACCAAAAGAATAGAATACATAGATTGAATAAGTTTAGCAAAAAAGAAAATCTCTTTAACCGAAAAGATGTGGTGGAGGGTTTGTAGTTAAATAAAAAAAATGAAATTTATATTTATTTGAATTATAAACTAATAATTTGAAGCAATATCAATTATTTTTAGATTTTACTTTGTATAGACTTGAAAATTATGGAAGCTATTTAATTAAATCAAAGCTTTTATTTTAAAGTAAGGAATAAGGCGATTTATTAAACTAATATCTTAATTCAAAGCTTCTACAAGAGTGTTAATTGAAATTTTATTAGGATCTTTGCTTTTCGTTGACATTTTAATTTATAAACTTAGAAAGCTGAATTCCAACTGGCCGATTTGAATAGAACAATTTGTTTTCTGGGGATTATCCCCTAGAATAACTTTATTTTTAAGCTACATCAGTTAAAAGTCTATTTTAACTTAAGGAATGTTATAATTTAGATTTATTTACAGTTTAAAATGATTTTCGATGAGATTGCTGCAGTATTGAATATTATTACTTGATAAATTCAGGATTAAGTTATGTTTTTCTTGAATTTTTCTTTTAATTAGAGAGATAAATTTTTTTCAAAAGATCTTTAAAGTTGTCTTTCTATATAGTTTATTCTTTAGGTGAAAATTACTTAGCTATTGGAGATTCTGACTTAAACTTTTGGTTATTTTCATCTGTTCTTGGAAAAGCATATGTATGATTAGCTTAGCTTTTTTTGAACCGCTTTTCAATTTGAGCAACTGAACTATTTTTTTATGCTTCAAGTAAAGCCTCATCATCAGGAGATTTTTAGTAATTGTCAATCATAGACAGTAATAATCTACTCTTTGAAGATTGTCTTACATTATTTTACATTAAATTTATAATTTATTTTTGTTTTTCACCTTAAACTTACATTTTTTTCCTTACAATTCCTGCTAATACTATGAAATCTAATTTACATTATATCTATAGACACTTTTGTTAAACTTCTTGAACTTCTTGATTAGTTGCAAAATTAATCTAATAACTATCATCTTAAATAACTTATACATTTTATCAACTTAGTTTAATAAAATATTGATAATAATATCATTGAATTACAATTTCGTACATTTATACATATGTTAAAAAATTTGGATCAAAATATTGTTTTGAATCAAATATTTTACTTAAAAACTAATATAAAGAATCACAATACAAATTATTAAATCAATATATTGACTTTTTGAATTTGCTAAAGTCTAACTAATGTTTTTACTGTTATTTAGAAACTAAAAATTTAATTTTCTATAAGGAATCCTTAAAATTTAACGGCGTAATAGTAATTGTTGATTTTAATGTTTTTGCAAGTTGAGGTGTTTTTATTTAACATTTAGGAGTGACAATTGAGCTTTAAAATGGTTTTAAAGAAGGAGTCTTTATTTTTTAATTGATTGGTTTATTTTCTTTTAATTTTTTATTGTTTTCTTTTTGCTCTGTTATTAATCTTTATATGCTTTTTAAATTTGCCATAGATTTTTATTATTATTGATGTCTGCTGTAAAATTAAAGACTTAAAAATTATTATAAATCTTTTTCATTCCCTTTATCTTGCCTTTTTTAATCAAGTTCTTTAACTACTAAGACACTTTCATAATCCAAGCCATAATCTAATTATTCATCTTCTAATGTATAAAGACGGCTCATTATTTGTTACAATTAATATAAACTTGGCACAATAATAATTTATAATAATTCTTAAAAAATACTCAATATTAAATTTAAGAATCTAATTCATTTTATTGTAAATTTTGGATTTATTGTTAATCTGAATTCTTCCTATTATCTTTTAACTCTAAATAATTTGAACTTAAATAGAAATTTAAATAATACTTAGGTGCTTGCTCAAGTTCAAATTTTTTGTTAGTGTCATCCACTTCTCTAGAATAACGAGTAAAATCCATTTAATCATTATCCTAATAATCTTGAACTCTCTCATTTCTATTGATACTCTAAAATTCATCTTGAGATTATCTATTATTGTCACTATATTTTTATTAAATGAAATTTGGTCTTTAATTATTTTATCTTGATTGATTTTCAAGATTTTAAGGTATTTGATCCATTTTTTTATCTAACAGAGGTCTTTGGTTTAAATTAATCTATCGATCATAATTATTACTATAATTATATTATAAATTTACTTTTAAGGTTAATTTTATTACTTTTCATAGACAAAATTGTTTTAAACTGGTTTTTATTCAAACTATTAATTATAAAATTATTATTCTTATTTTATTTAAGGCATTTAACTGTTCTAAGAGGCTTAAAAATCACCCTTAAATAGAAAAATTCAATACTTGTTATGATTATGGCCTAAGATATGCCCCTTTTTCTTACTCTTGATTAAAATTATCAAAGCTTCGTTGATTTTGTAATCTTACATTCTAATCTTAATTTCTTTATGTATCTAAACTTCTTTATTAAATTGAATTAATATCAGAATTTTTTTATTTATCTTGACTTTAATTTACTTCATGGTTGAAGTTATTAAGATTTGATAAATCTTTGGAGTCTAATTACTAAGAGGAATCCTTTCTTATTTATAAATCATCTTAAGGTTTAGTGACATCAACAAAATTTCTTGAATTATTTGTTCTGAAATTATCATTTTATTAATTAGAAAATCTTTCTCTATTATTATCCTATTAAAATCTTTTTTGGAAATCTTGATCGAAGTTTATATCTCTATAATTATCTGGAGCAAAGGATTTTGAATCTTATTAATTATATTATCTTTAAGGCAATCCTTATTTATTACCTCTATCCTCCCAATTATTTTATTATCTATAATTTTGATCTTTATAATTTTCAAATTATCTTTCATCCCTAACATTGTCGAAGGCTTTTCTTGTATTATAATTTTTATCAGATGGATAATTTCTAGAATTATTATAAGGAGTTCTATATTAATCATTTTAAAAATTCCTTTAATCTTTATTTTCTTATGGTCTCTAATTAGAAAATTAATATTAATTTTATGAGGTTCTCGACCATTATTAAGAATCTTATTAATTTCTCATAAAGTCTTATTCATTTTTTTAGTAATCTCTTTAATTTGAAAATGGTTATTATTGTTCTCTTTAATTTACAAAAAATTATTCTTTATTTCCTTTATTTTAATCAAATTATTCTCTTCTATTATCTTAATATCTTTAGAATTTATCTTATTCATTATTTTATCTTCTATCATCTTATCTACGATAATTTGATCCTTAATTTCCATATCCTGAATAATTTTTTTCAAAATCTTATCTACCACTATCAAATTCTAAATAATCTTCCCTACGTTATCCTTGAAAATCACTTTGTTAACGAAACCTATTTGATTTCTAATTTTATTCTTATTATCCTTTATAATCATATTACCCCTAAATATATATTAATATTTAATACTTGATTTTGTTTTCGAAATTTATTTTAATAAAATATCTCTTCTCCTCTTTGATTTTATCTATATTATTATTATCCATAATTATGTTTACCTTGATATTGCCTTCCATTATAATTTTATTTATTTCTATTTTCACTAATATAAATGCAAATAAATTACATAGTTTCATATTGATGAGGCTGTAAATATAGTTTTGCTTTCTCTTCCTCAGTCAAATTTGGCACTCTAAATATAGTTTCATTATTTCCATTGTTATTACGATCCATTATTTAACCATTATATTTAGTAGGTCCTTATTAATAATTAGGATTTCTTTATTATTCTAAATGTTTAATAAAATAATAATTTACTTATTCCATTAGCCAAATCTTACATGATTTAAAAATCAAATTTAATTTAATGTACCTAATTAAATTTTAATAATTCTCTTGCCATTTGAGGTTTATCTTTTTCAACAGAGAAAAAACTAAAAGCTCTTCCTTTTCTACCTGCTCTACCTGTTCTACCTATTCTATGAATATAATCATCAAAATATTTAGGAAAATCATAGTTAATTACAACAGTAATATCAGATACATCTAATCCTCTTGAAGCTAAATCAGTAGCACAAAGTAATTTGGTTTCTCCAGATTTATAATTTTTCATAATTTCATCTCTTTATCTCTATGATTTATCTCCATGAAGGGCAACTGCATAATATCCTTCATTAGTCATATCTAAAGATAATTATTCACAACTCCTTCTTGTTTCTGCAAATATAAGCACTTTATCATTAATTTTTAATGTGTCTAAAATATCTAATAAAGTTTTTAATTTTTCATTATTAAATAAGCAAATTATTTCTTGATCTATATTTTTATTAATTGTAAGATTAGATCTACCAATTTAAACATATATTGGATGCTCTGAACAAAAATCAAATGATAAATTTCTAACTGCTTTAGGCCAAGTTGCTGAAAAGAAAACAGTTTATCTATCCATTCTAGTTTTTTCAACAATATATCTAACATCATCTTCAAAACCCATATCTAATAATTTATCAGCTTCATCTATGACAAGATAAGTCACTTTAGATAAATCTAAAATTCCTTCTTGCAAAAAGTCTTTTAATCTACCAGGACATGCAACTAAAATATTAGGATTTTCTAATATTTATCTAGCTTATTAATCTCTATTAGGTCCACCAAAAGCATTGGTGACTTTGAAATTATATGATCTAGCAAATTCTTCTACTTATGAAGTTATTTGCATAACTAATTCTCTAGTTGGTGCTAAAATTAGCATTTCAGGGCCATTTATATTATTTCTAAAATTTTAAGGATAATTTTGACAAGCTATTTGAATAAGACCTGGTAATAAGTATCCAAATGTCTTTCCTGATCCTGTTTCAGCTACTCCAATAACATCATATCCACTTAAAATCAATGGGAATACTATTTTTTTATAAAATAGAGTTACCAACAGATTGTATAGGAGTAGGAGTTCTAAATTAAAGTCTATTTATAGTATTAATTATCTGTTTATGAAATTATGTACTTTCCCATGTTAGAAAAGGAAATGGGCAAGGTTATCCATCTAATGATTTAATAGCTATTTCTTTATCCTTTACAAACTCTCTTGTCTTTTCTGGCATTGGTTAATCAATAGATTATTTTGGCTAAAGTTTGGAAGATAATTACATTGATAAATTGTTTTTTAAAATTAGGTAATCCATTATTTGGCATTCCAACAATTTTACCTTTCTTTGATTTCCATCTTTTTCTAACCATGTCTTCAATATCGAGATTATCAGGATCGAATTCATCATAAGGGAGCATTGGGTTTTAAGAATTCAAAGAAATTAATATTAATGATAAAATAACTATGCTAAAATTTAGCTAAATATAATTTCTATAAAAACAACTATCACAGTAATTTTCTAATGTCTGAAATATAACATTTCGAATTAATTTTTTGATGTTTGTTTAACTATTTCTATTCCAATCTTGGCAAATAAAAATCTTATTGTAGAATTTATTATAGTTTTTATTTTTATTATTATGGAGATGATAATTGTTTCCTTAATCTCGGAGTACATTATCCAGCATTATTACTTTAATATCCTTGATGACTAGGATGATGTTAATGATGAAGAGGTTGTAGTTAATAAATATTACTACTATTTGGTATATTCTCTTTAAGTTAACTATTATTTTAAGATATACTTCTCTATAAAGATGGAATATTAAGATTATTAGATAACTTATTCTTTATTTTAATTTTCTTGAAAGAGGGACTATCAGAATCATTTGAAATATTATTTGATTTTGTCCTTTAAACACGAGAACTAGGACGTTTATTTAAAGTTAAACTAGCATCACTATTATCTGTTTAATATCTTGGTCTTGGTAATGTTATATCTTTATAATTTCTAGGTAAATATATTGTTCCTAATAATTTTGACCCATTATTTAAAAGTGCACCTGAATCATTATACAACTATCTTTTTTTAATTTCCTCTAAATTCAATAGATCTTCACAAGATGCTCTAGTTTTAGGTGATACTTATAAACATCTTGAAATCAAATAACTCAGTTCTTTACTATATCTCTAATTTAATGGTTCGTAAATTCCTCTTTAAACTTTCTTTTATAAATGATACAAATCATTTGCTAAAAATGGTGGCTATAATTAAGCCATTTCATATATCACACAACCAAGTGACCATATATCACATTTCTAATCATATGGTTCATCCTTCCAAACCTCTGGACTTGCATAATATGGTGTTCCTGCTTTTGTATTTGCTAACTAATTTGATTTCACTATTTTTGCTACATTTAAATCACCTAATTTTATATGTTTATGATCTTAAGTCAAAAATACATTTGCACATTTTATATCTCTATGATAAATACCATTATTATGTAATTCTTATAATCCTAATAACATTTCAATCAAATAAATCCATATCAATTATTCATCAAAATAAAATCCTAAACCTTTCTTTTTTGTATACTCTATTTTTTATTACAAATCACCACCTCCAGCAAATTCCAAAATTAAAAATAATGTTTCACCTTTTATAAATGCCTCTCTATATCCAATGATATGAAAATTTGATAAACTAGCTAAAATTCTTACTTCATTTAATGCATTTTGTTTTTCTTTTATTGATAATCCATTCATCTAAACTTTTTTCATTGCATATTCTTATCCATCCGATTTTCGTCTTACTTTATACACTGAAGAATATGATCCCTATCCTAACTTTCTCAAAATTTCAAAATCAGCAATACAAACCTCATGCATTTGTTGTTAGAAATTTAATATTCAATTTAAAATTTTATTAACATCTATTTATTACTAACATTTAATTTTAATTAATTATCAACTCTTACTTTTTAAAAAGCAATCTAAACTTTGAATTTTACACTTTAAATCTACTTTTTAGATTTATTGAATAAAAATAACCAAATTTATAAATTACATTTATTAATTATTTCGTAACTCTTTTAAACATTACTATTGTCATATTTCCAACATCATAATATCAAAAATAATTTAAAAACAATCATATTTTGAATACTAAAATTCATAAATTGAAATAAAGTTATAAAATTCAATGAAAGATATGTATAACTAAATAAATTAGAATTAAGTTTCCTTTTAAAAATTTATATAATATTTAAATATTATTGTATGAGTAATCCAGAACTATCAGAGGAGAATAGACCCCCTAAGCTATTATTAGTTTTGAGTAAATGTTCTGAGTTTAGTGAAATTGATTTAGAGAACAAGCAGTCACCAAAAATACCAAAATTAAGAAAATTGTAAAATCTATTTAATTCTACATAAGAAATTCAGCTGTTGATTATAATGATTAATTACATTAAGTGATCAATAAATAAATAGATATAGATTTTTAAAAAGTAGAGAGTCCTAAATATGAAAGTACAAAATGGTAACCATGTAGTTGTAATAAAACAAATTGTCTTAAAATGTATTGCTCTTGTTTTCATAATGGTTAAACTTGTATAGAATCCTGCAAGTGTGAAAATTGTTTAAATACATCTAATTATATTCATTAAAGAGATTTGGCAGTAGAATATATTAAGAAAAAAGCTCATAGAAACAAAAAAGTGTAAAAGGAAAAACTATTTGAAACAAAAGAAATTTGGGGATGTAATTGTAAAAAAACTAGATGCTTAAAAAGATATTGTGAATGCTATATCAGATAGAAAAAATGCACTGTTGAATGTAATTGTAACCATTGTGAAAATGGAAAAGATGAGGACTTGTACAAAGAAATAAAAAGGTAAAATGAATAACCTAAATAATCAAGAAGATAAAGATCTTGGCGTTTGTATAACAATTGAACTTTTTTTATTAGTTTATAACTTATATATCTATAAATATTTTCACTTGTATAAAATATTATTTATAAATATATAAAAAACATCATGCTCGAATTTTAATTGAGGCCTTCAAATTTAAAATCATCCGGCTTTAAAATTTATGAAGCTTCGAATAATTTAGAAGTACAATATTTTGCATACTACTATACCTAAGCCTATAATGAAGCATATAGATAATTAGATTTATAGCCTATATCAGAATTTTTAAGAGAGCCTATAAATATATCTAACACAGCTAGTAGATATGTTTTTTTTAAATATTGTGGTAGTTTTAGATTAGCTGATATAACAAAGAAGCTTATTGAAACTGAAATTATTAATATTTTAGGATAATTAATCTAAGCTATTTATGCATTGAATAAATGTAAATTAATGGGAAGATGCTTTAATATTTACAATATTTTGGTCACAAATATTTAAAAAGGGAAATTTTGCATCAAATTAATGGATTTTGGCTTTGGGCCTCCTCTCGACTATTAACCAATAACCAGTTATTTAAATAATGGATATTATGATTATTAATTTGATTTATTTCTAATTGGAAGGATTTTGTTTTTTCTTTTAACAAATAAGGATATTCCAGATCATGAAGAACATGTTTAAATGTGGAATGAAACAATTAACAATATTAACAGGTCTTCATATTCTAAAAATCTTTAGGACATATGTAAAAAGCTCATTTCTCCTAATTAATAAATTGGATATAACTTCTTAAATCTTGTTTCTGATGTTTTAAAATTAACAGAACATGAATTTAAATTTGATCAGATATAATAGTTTTATAGCTAGAATCAAGATATATTTTTAGAAATTAATTAAGAAATTTAGAGAAGAGATAAAATTATTTTGATTATTCCAAAACTTATTCCACCTATTTTGCCAGAATAAAGCCTTGATAGAATCTTAATATTTGGTTTTGAACCGGAAAGTATTGAAATTCATAAGTATCTGAACTTTAAACTATTCAATATAACAATAATTAAATATGCCATAGAAAATATAAAACTTAAATTTAATCCTAGTGATCATATATCTGTTCCTCTTTCATTATTTGTGCTTGAAAAAATGAAATGCATTATTCTTTGTAAATTATGTTTAATGTTTGAAAATAAAAATTTTGAAATATTTAGCACATAAGTAATTTAAGATTTCATTTAATCGTCACAATATAAAAATTGTTTAGCTAAATTGAAAGAATTAAAATACTTACAAATTTAGGAAATGTCAACTCATTTAGAAACTTTATATAAAACTTTACAAGCTAATTTCCCTGATTATTAAAATAATTTAATTTATAAAGATACTTATAAATTTTTATCCAAAGATAACTTTATTTCAAAATTTGAGGAAATCAAAAGTTAATATAGATTACCTTTAAATAATTTAATAACAAAAATAGAAAATTTGGATGAAGATAAAAGCAATAGATAATTTCGATTAGAAGTATTAATGAGTATTCTCATAAATAAAATAGGAGAGATTAAGAATACGCATTATAGAACAATAATGAAATCATAACAAATAAATGAGATTAATTCCCTACTCTAAGTAAATGATTTCTTATTTAAAGCTAATATATAAGAATTAGATGAATAATATGATGAATTAAGAAGCTTATACTTTAGATGAGAGAAACTAAATAAGTTGAATAAATTTTTAATATATCTCATCCTGATAATCAAATTGATTTATTTCATATTATCTTCTGAAAATGTCAGTAATTCTAAAATTTAATATATAAATATAAGTTTAATATTTTTTCTATTATATTCATCTACACTGATGCTTCTCAACAATAGAAAGATGAAAAATTAGGTTGAATTGTGTAGATTTAGGCAAGAATATAAGAAGTGTTTAAATTAATTTATACATAAAACAAATTTTTATCCCATAAAAAATTGAATAAAATTTCCAATGTTTATAGCTTTATCATGTGATGCTTAAGCTTAAAGCAATTGCTTCAATGTCGATTATTTAAAAGGAAATATTTAAACTCTATTATTAAATGATTGATCAAAATAAAAATCATTTTTTTATCAATTACTTCAGCTTATTAAGAATGTATAAAAGGATTCTAATCTTTAATATAAATTAATCCAACCTTTGATTCTGTCCCTAAAGTTCATAAAATTAAATTTAATCATTTTATACTGAATAGCACTATAATTATTTTTTTTCTTTTGAGAGGAGTTCTTGATATTGATGATGAGTTGTTTATTTTAAAACACTAAAGTAATTATCCATAAAATCAAGTTTCTAAAAATCTATAAACTTGATAACTTATTTTTAAAATGATATGCAAAATCAATTTCGATTTGACATTAGTAAAAATATTCCTTTTAAGTTTAGTTTTTAAATAAATAATTTACATATTTTTTTGAAGCTAGCCTCAGAAAATCTATTTTTTGTTGATTCTAAATAATTAATAATACTAAAATAAAGTATAAGTAGCCCTTTTTGATATTATAAACGAAAGGTTTTGCATGTTTACCTTATCAACATAAACATTTTGAAATTAACAATAAAAATATTTTATATTTTTTCTCCAAAAAAAATGCGAAATTCTAATTGAATGCTATTTTATTGCATTAATTAATGATTTATTTAAAAAAAATATCTTATTTAACTGGAAAATATCACCTAAAATTAAGAGTTGATTAGGAGCAATAATGAAATTATCGAAAAAATCAATTGAAGAATCATAGAAAATTTGAAAATAGTTAATTTTTGAATGCAAAGAATTGATTTATAATAATTTTAATTTAATATGAATAAGAGATTACTATATTTTGGATTCTGTGATGCGGTAATTAGTTTAATTGCTGGAATAGTCATGTTTATTTAAGCTAGATGTTGTTTTAACTTTAGTATAATATTCATAGCAGAGCTAATATTGATGAATGCATTTATTGTTTTGTAATATAAAAGGTTTTTAAATGACCTGATTAGAGAAATATTTTTAGGTGTTTCATACCTTGTTTGCTAAATATTATAGATTGAGTTCTTAGAATCTCTTTAATCTTCTGTATAACTATATTAATAAATAGGAATATATTTTCTTTTTAAGTATCAGATTATTTATATTAACAACATCATTAGAAAGAATCCCTTTTCGAATCATTATATTTTCTGTAACTTATTTTTACCTTGGTATCAGATTACAATTTTATACAAATATGTTTCCTTATTTAGGATTAGCATTTGTTCCTTTTATGTTTATTGTAGATTAATCACATGAAAATCTTTCATCTTCGATAATTGATTTTTTTTAAAAAACTTTAACAAATCCAATTCTAATACTTGATGCTAAAACAAGAGAGCCTCTTTTTCATTCAAATCAGATGGAATCGGAATTTAATTACACTTCTACCAATTAAGATTATTTTATACATTGCCTATAATAATTTTAGGATTCATCATAAAAAACTTTATGGAGTATTTTGGAGGAATAAAAATTAAAAATAAAGCATAACAATTAAGCTAAATATCGAAAATTGAAAGGAATATTTAATGAAGATTATTAATATGTTGAAATTCAATAAAATAAAAAATTACCTACATTTTTATAAGATGAAGTTAATTAAGAAAAGCAAGACCTGATATATATTGATAGTCCTAAATGTTAAATAGAAAATTTAAAATATCCATCCTCAAACTAATAAAATGATGATACTCCTTAACATGGTAAGAGTAAATTTCGTTTCAAAGATAGGCAGAATAAATTATTTGGAATAAATGAATTGAAATAAAAGAAAGTTAATATCACAGTATAACACTGTATTTGGAATAAGAAAGAAGCTTTCATGATTTCATTGAAAGACTTAGAGAATTAAAAACTATTATAAATATTATCTGAAGAACTTTAAGAAAGCAAAAAATAAAATGAAAATAAAGATTAGATATTGGCAACAGTATTTCATGATTTCAAAACTCCAATCAATGGAATATGTACAATAGTTGAAGCCATGGAAGAAAGATACAATCTTAATGCTCCTTCTAAATACTATTTAACAATAATTAGAAAGAATGTATACCTAATGTTATACATGATATATGATATTTTAGATTTTGCAAGGATTTAGAAAAACTAATTAAGATTGAGTGTTAGTGATTTTTACTTAAATGAAGTTATTGATGAAGTAGTTGAATTGGTAGCCATTTAGGCAGAACAAAAAGGAGTTGTTATATAAACACATTATGATATTCCATCTTATTAAATATATAGTGATCCTAATCGAATTAAATAAATTCTTATGAATTTTATCTCTAATTCATTAAAATTTACGGAATAAGGATCAATAACAATATCTGTGGAATCTCCATAAACAGACAAAGTTAATCATATTGTTCGAACAGTTTCATCTAAGAATGTACTTAATCAATAATAAAATTAATAAACAGTTGGATAGTTACGTAAGTAATTATCAGGAAAATCAGTGAAGTCTTAAAATGGATAAAATAGGGTGATTTATACAATTTCTATATAAGATACAGGTTGTGGTATTTCAGATCTTATTAAGCCTAAATTATTTAATATGTATGCTACATTTCCAAGTAATGATGTTTAAAATAAATCTGGAACTGGAATTGGATTAATGGTTTGTAAGAAATTAATTAAATTATTGGGTCCATCTGAAAAAATAGAACTTTGGAGTGAATAAAATAAAGGAACTAAAATGTCATTCCAAATATACTCTAGATTACCTGAGGATCCAAAAAGATCTCCTAATTATATAAGTGTTTTTAAATAAGAGAGTAGTTCTAAAAATTTTAATCTAGATAGTCCTTCATAAATTGATGAATAAGAATCTATGTAATAAAAATTTGTAAGATCATCTATTTTACGTGTTTATTCAAGACCTGTTGATAAAAATGATACTGAAGCTGGTTTAGATTTTAATCCAGAATGTGAAGATGAAGGCCAGCAGAAATTATAAAACATTAATATTTTATAAAATTTAAGATCTCCAACTGCTAGTAGAATTAAAATAAAAGAATAAACTTTAGATGATTCTTAAGAAATTATTGATCCGAGATCAAGATTATAAAGGATTCTTCAAAACAAAACATTTTCAATAATGATTGTTGATGATCAACCATTTAATGTTTTAGCTTTAAAATTGTTGTTATAGGATATTTCATCAAATGTCTCATTTTTAGAAGCTTATAATGGATAACAAGCTATTAATAAAGTAATTTAAATCTTATTTATAATAGTTACAAACTTTTTAGAAAAGCAAGAACATAAAATATATTTTAATGGATCTTTTCATGCCAATTTTAAATGGTTGGAAAGCAGCATCTAAAATTAGAGAGATGGTATTATTATTAAATATATAAGATTGCTAAAAAATTAATTGAGGAGGTAAAAATAATTGCGATATCAGGTTTTGATGATGAAAGCGAATAGGAAAGATGTGAAAATGTTGGTTTTGATGCCTTTATAACTAAACCTGTTAAATTGGAGATGATAGCTGAAGTATTTGCACAATTAGAATTTAATTGAATTTGCACTTGATAATACTTTTTATAAAATTTATGTTATTACTTTTTCTGTAATTATTTAATTTTCTTTATTAAATTAAATTGAGTTAAAAATAATAAATCAAATGATTTATTGTATAAATTTTCAATTATGATCATTCTGCATACACTGGTTTTATTTACTTTAGAATGTTTTTATCTAAGACACTGATTTTATATAACTATTTGATTTAATTTTATGCTACAATTTGCATATCATCTAGAAAATTTTGATGATTGCCTTTAGGTTCTTATAGGTAATATTATAAACTTTATTAAAACTGAATAATATAATAAAATCTATAGTCATTTTATATTTTATCGAAAATGATTATGCCTTCCTAATTTGCTGTTTCTGATCGTTAGATTTTTGAGTTCAAGAAACCTCTAAATAACTCAGATTCAGAAGAAGAATAGTAATAGTAATAATTACTTTTACAAAATGGTAACAAAGAAACAAAAAGATAGAAGAAGTTTTTGGATATAGAAGCCATTAAATAAGAGTTGAATAATAGACCATAAATTGATTATGAAAATACGCCTAAGATTGGTAGAAAGCCATCTCGATTGATGGCTAAAAGTCTTCCTAATTTTATATTTCCCACTTCTCCAGTATTGATAGAATAATTGCAAATGGTTAGAGCCATTAGATTAATGAAAGAGCAAGTTCCTCCTGAAATTATGAATAAGGTTTTCTCTGAATTAAGGTAAATTTTAGGATAGATTATAGATATTTATATATTCCAGCCAACACTGCAGTTTATAGGTAGGGAGACCAAAATAAAAAATATTACATCATTTTGGATGGAAAATGTGTAGTAATGAAGCCAAGAGAGAAAATGATTGGTTCTAAAAAGTTTGAGCTAGAATTAGAGGGAAAGGCTTAAATATAATTAATGAGAAGAAATGATCCTGATCCTTATGGATTAAAAAGCGCCTTTCCTGATTACATAATCCTTAAAGTTTTAATAAATGGAGAGTAATACGCATATTAATTTTAGCGCTTTTGGAGAAGCAGCAATTAAACTCGATATAGCAAGATCTTCTACCGTGTTTGCTATAGAAAACTCGCATTTATTATTTTTGAGTGAATAAGCATATATTTCTCTTCTTGCTCCATTTTTAAGTAAGTCTTTAGATGATAAAATATTATATTTCACACAAACACCAATTTTCAAAGAAATTGATTTTGAATTAAATGAAATCATGGGGATACTTTTAGAATGTCATTAAATTACCTATAAAGCATCAGAAATTCTATATGAAGAGAATGAACGATCTAATCATATCTATTTCATAATTAATGGTCAAGTTGAATTGTCAAAATAATTAAATTCTAAAAATTTAGTGCTTTCTTCTTATGGTGAAAATTAGCATTTTGGTGATGTAGAAGTTTTTCATAAAATACCAAGATTTACAAGAGCAAGAGTAATATCTCCAAGATTAATCGTTTATAAAATAAGATAATCTAAATTCTTCGATAACTTAGGAAATATTTAAATTTATGAAAATTTTAAAAGTACAACTAAACTTATACTTAAACATTGGACTCTCATATATAATACTGCTAAATCTTCAATTGTTTAAAAAGATGAAATTTATCAAGCTGCCCAAGATTAATTAACAAATAGAAGAAATGATGCATCGAAAAAAATTGTTAATAAAAAGATTATTGAAGTATAGGGTGATAAACTCAGTTAAGTCAAAGTTTTTCAAAACCTTGCTGATAGCAATATTAGAGATGTTAACTCTATTGGAAATTCTCCTAATAAAACTATTATACAAAGAGTCTACAGTAACGCTCTTCAATAGTACTAAGCAAGATTACTCAAAAAACCTCAGTAAACTCAATGCAATGATGATCATTGTATTAGAAGTTAAAAAGAAAAGTATATAATTTAAAATATAATTTAAGAACATTCTCTACTGAAAGAGCTAGTCCTAATAGAAAAAATAGTTAGTTGAATCTAAAACTGCCTACTATGATGTCAAACTCAAATTCAAATTCTAAAGTAGATTTAAATTAAGTCTTTGACTCGATTAGTAAATTGCCTAGAATTCCAAGAGATAATCTAGTATTATCTTTAATGTACTAATAAGCATACAAATCAGAGAATCCAGAGAAAAAGGCAAAATAAATTTAATAAGTAATTTAAGCTTCATTTCGAAACGTTAGAAGAGATTTTGAATCGAAAGAGAAAGCTGTTTCAAGTTGGAAGTATAAATCTGCTGATTCAATTCTTAAGAATTTAAAATTAAGTGATGCTAGTGAAGAAAAGAGATTGAAAGATGACTATATGAATTTTGTCTAATCTAAAAGATTATCTTGAATGTAATAATTTATTTAAATTATATTATTTAAAAGATTTTATCTCAAAAAAGTTTAAAGTTATTTTCATGGTTAAATTTATTCTTTCTCATGAAGATAAGATTTTGACCTTTGCGTTTGAACTTAGGTTAAGCACTAAAAAATATTTATAAAATACATTCTAAGATTATTTAGAGCTTTGAACTTAAGATTGTAGATTAGAAATTTAAGCTTTTAAATTATCCACTAATTTAATGATTCTCTCATAAATCTTTTCTGGATCAAATTTTTCATTAACATTTTCAGTTAAATACTTTCTTTATAACTAATTAGCGCTAACAATAATTTTTCTTAAATAGGATTAGAGTTTTTCATTAGTAGATATGGTTATCATCTTTTCCATATTTTCTAACATTTCTAAAGGCTCAACTAAATTGGCTCTAGGACCTCCATCCATTTTTTCAGGCAGAAGTGCCTTAGATTTACTAGCCCAATCACTATAAATTTGTAAAATTTTTTTAAACAAGTTCAAATACATTTCTTTGTATTACTCATAATCTTAATCTGGTGAATCTTATTTATAATTAGATGTATTATAATTGATATCATATTGAGGGTTTCTTGTTTATTGTTTGATTTCCAAGTCTTTTTATAAATTAAAATTTTATTTTTCAAGTTAGATGTAATCTAATTCCAAATCTGAAACTCTTTTAGTGAGAAGCAAGTTTTAATTTTCAAAATAATCATATTTATCAATAAATTTTTCGGCTTGAAAGTTGTAAAATCTTTTAGTCATGATATTGAATTGAGGAATGAATTTTTCAATTTCTACAGTACTTCTTTTAAGTTCATCCAATTATTATTTAGAACGCTTGATTTCTTTAAGCAATTAGATATTCTTAAAATTTAGACTTTCATTTGAACTTTGTAATTCAAAAATTTTTCCTTTAGCCATTTCAAGTTAATCAGCAAGTTCTTAACTAATTATAGAAAAAAGTATACTTTTCTCTTGAAAACTTATCAATATAGGTAAGCATTTATTGTGTGACTTATTCTAATTAAAATTTAGATTCATTTAAAACTTTTTCTTTGGCTAGATTATTAATCATTGAATAAAGAGAGTTTTCTGCTTTTTATTTAATATCTAAAATTGCTTTTCGTCTAGGGTTCATTTTAGCAATTTCTGATGTACTCTTAACTATATTTTCAATAGTTTTTTTTGGCTAGAAACTTTGAGTTTTGATTTAAAGTTTTTTTTTGAGACTATTTGAAGTATGCTTATGTTTATTCAATGCTGACTTATTTTATAAATTAATGTTACAGAAACTTAAAGTCGAAATTCTTCATCAATAGGTCCAGGTTTAGTATAAATGTAGTTCCCAAAAGCATCAAAAACAATTCTATGAAAGTTCTTCTTGAATTATTGATATTCATCTTAATTAATTAGTACTTCTTTTTCAAAGTAATCGTCTGGAGGATCAATTTCCGCTTATTCTTTAGTAACTCTTAAATTGCATGAAGCGTTTTCAGATCTGTGCCCTACATTAACTTTTCTCTCTTATAATTTCATCAAACTTTTTGGTGTGAGGCTAGTAGTTGCTGTATATTTGTTGATTTATTATTATTGATCTTAATCTTCATTTTGGGTAGACAGTCTAATATATAGCATTAAATTACTATAGTTAAAGTCTTCTTGGACTAGTCACAGCTGTTTAGGGTCTTGTACGAGATGAACTTAAAAACGAATTTTTAGGACTTGTATGAACAGACATTTTTATAATAGCTATTAAAAATATAAATATATGAAATTTAAAATTAGTGAATGATATTTTTTATTGATGAGGAAAAAAATACATGAAAGATAGAAATTAGTTATGGCTTTACAAATTATATTCAAGAATTAATTGTTTTATTTATTAGCTAACTAATGTTCTTTTTATAAAATAAACTTAAAGTTCCATCTAACAATTTGCACTTTGAATTAATAATTTTAGTAAAACTTACTTATCAGAATATAATGATAGATTGAATATTTAATAAAATTACAGATATGTAAAGATCGAATGAATTTTAGATTAATTCTGATGGGAAAGAATACAATATAAAACTATTCAAATTATTAGAATTTTTATAATAAATATTGTTCATAATTTTTAACAATAGGTCATCTCAATTTATTTACTTTCCATTAGAAAATACAATTATCTTCACCTCCAATACTAAATAGATAATGATCTTCCATTGACCAGGCAATGTTTGTGATATGTGACGAATGTCCTTTGCCTAAAATATAGCCTGATCCTTTCTTTACACAAGGATATCTAATTTAAAATAAAGTAGAATAGTACCTAAATAGTTTGATTTAAGAATTATCGTCTCCAGTTGCTAAAAGATAATAATTGTCAGGTGGTTTTTCTTTTTCATTGTATGTTTTATTAGATCTTACAGCAGCATTGATATCACTACCATCTTAAATTTCTGGCCAAATTCCTTAAACAGGCCATCCATAGGGTGTAGTCCAAGTTAACCATTTTTCATCTCTTAATTAATTGGCTCCATTAGGTAGCTACTTGCCAGATTATAATTCCCAAAATAATAATTCATATCTGAAAATGATAAATATAAATTATTTACCCTCCACAATTACTATGAAGATGATTTCCATCTATAGAGAAATTAATATGAGTAATATAACTTGAATGTTTCTTTAGAGGCTTGTAACGTTATTTCATATCAGGGAAACTATAGATATAGATAGAATTATCATGAGATCCAATTGCAACCCAAGATTAATCATGACTAAATTTGATATCACAAATCCATTCCTTAGCTAATCTATTTACATATTTTTATTTAAATTCTTTATCATAAATCTTAAATTAATTAATTTAAAATTACTCTAACAGTTCCATCCTTAAAACCAACACATATTGATATGCCATCTAAAGAAACAGCAATACATCTTCCTTTAGTATTATCTGGAAGTTCCCCTACTTCATCTTATTTAATTTCAGCTCCATTATTATCAAGATTAGTCTTAATGCAATTGAGCATTTTTCTTTGACTAATAGACCAAGATCTCAATGTACCGTCATCACCACAAGTATAGTATTGATCTGAATCTTATGGATTAATGGCTAAACCCCAAACTTCATTTAAAGATCTTTTATTAGGAGAACAATGAGATTTCATTAAGATTTTAGAAACTGCAAATTTTGAGTTAATATTAATTTTGGCATCTTTAGTAGATAATTCAACAATATCACCAGCATTAGTTGAGACAAGTAGTGTTTTTAAATCATAACCTAATTAGATTGATTTAACTTCTAATCCTAAAGAATTCCTCATACATTCAGATAATTTAAAGGAAAGTATTTATTTATAAGTCTTAGAATCAATAATAACAATTTTAGAATCAGCTCCTCCTATAAGTACACTAATAATAAATAATATAAAATTACAAATCTTTAGACACATTAATAGCTTCTAATGATCTATTAGCTTCTAAATATTAGAAATAAGAAGTGAATTTACCACCAGAATAGATTTATAAAGATCCATCAACAGCTCCTAATAAATAATCATCATTATTGACAGCAGCACATAAATATTTATAAGATAATGGTTTTTATGGATAAGCTTTAGAATAAGTCAAACCTCCATGACCTAATTTCCAAAATTTTAAATGGTTAAATCCACAAGTAATAAATTCTAAATCATTCTTCCATTTAATATCTGTTACAATATCTTTACCAATCTGGTCTCTAACTAACAAAGTTCCTCCTATTGAAGATTTAGTTATAATATCAAAAATGCATAATTAATGACAGGCATCCATTCCTATGGCAGCTAATTTATCTCCTGAAACATTAAATGCTAATTGTAGAATTCCTTTAGTAAAGTATCCTTTCAATTAACAAATTATAGCTTAAGTATTGCTTTCCCATATACAGATTTATGGATTAGCTCCTAATTGTCCAGTAGCGACTTTTAGGTGATCATTTGATACATCTAAAGAAACTACATCTTCTGTATGTTAATTGAAGAATTTTTAAGAACTTGAATTTGTGTTTGCATTAGGATTGGGATCTAAAACAATAGCTAATGCTGCTGCATTATAAACTATTTATCCTCCCTTTAAATATTTCACATTGTTTCTACAATCTCTACTACGATATCCATGAACATATTCTAGTGTTAATTCGACAAGAGGTTATTTATTTTAGTTCAATGGATCTTTATAATAATTTGAAGGTTCTTTAATTGCTCCCATCCATGGTCTTATAATAGTGAATTCATCTCCTTTTTCATTTTAATCATTATAATTCTATTGATCATCATTTCTTTCTATTTAATTGTCTCTTCTTCTCACTTTCCCATATTTATCAGATCCAAGTCTTCTTGTTTTCTCCTATGGAATTGTTAAAGATACTAAATCATCTATGTCTTCATCCAATTTCCCATAAGCATTTTCTTCTTATAACATTAACTATTATTATTATTTTGACCAATCTGTTCTCCAAATAAATATTCCTCTATCCATACCACTAGTTGATATTAATTTACTATCATCAAATGAGAATCTCATTCTTGTAATTGCATTTGCATGTCCAGGATATTCCTTATGAATCTAATTAAATTAACAAACAGCAGGATATTAATATAGATTTATAATACCATTATACTCACCAGTTGCTAATATTTACTTCTGATTATCAACACATACTGCTGTAACTGAGTATTCGTCCTTCTTATATATACCTTAAACATTAAATCCAAATAAACATGTCCAAGTAAACCAATCTAATTCTTTTACTTGAGGTCCTGGAACATCTTTTAAGGATTAAACATTTGCAAATTTCAATTCATAAGTTGATGAATTTACTACTATATGCATTGAATCAACTGCCCAATCTAATTTTATCAAACTACTATTTAATGAAATGTTTATTGAACTTTGTTTATTAAATTTACCTCCTTCAATTTCCCAAACTTCTACTTATGATTAAGTACCATGAGCACCAAATGCTATTTTAGTACTATCAGGTGAAAACTTTATATCCTCTATCCAAAATGTTTTACCTTAAGCACCTTACTTCAAACTACCTGCTTTTGAATTCTTTTTATCCAAAACATTCATATTTGTTGGTTCTACCAAATAGATACATCCACGTACATCTCCAACTGCTAAGTATTTTCCATCTGAACTCCAATCCACTGCTCTTATATCATTTTCAAATGGAGATGAACACTTCACTAATGTATATTAATTAATATCCCATTAACGAAGAACACTATCACCTCCACATGTTACAATTGTTTATGAATTTCTACTTGCTGCTATTCCCCATACCTCTCCTCCATAGTGACAATCAAGTAATAATTTTAAATTTTATACATTTTTTAGCGGAGCATAATACATCTAAGCTTATTTAGTTGCTATTATTATATTATCATTCTTAATGTCCATTGATATAATACCAACTAATTTTGGTTAATGCAGTGCTTCAGTAATATCTATTATGGTAGCCACATTATTTAAATTATTTCCATTCATTTCCCATAATTTTATTTATCCATCTAAACCACTACTATATAATTAGGATTTTCCAACTGCAACTAATGAACTAACCTTTGATCTATGTGCCTGATAATTTTTAATGTTTTTATTCTCCTTCCATAAAAATATGTTTCCATTATCTGACCCAGTAATTTCATATGATTCTTTAAATGCAACACAACAGCATAACATTGGTTCAAATTGATTACTATTTAAAATACCTGGATAACATTTAACATTTCTGCCATTCATTTAATAGAATGTTACACTTCTTTATCCACAAGACATAAATTCATTTGGTGATTTACTACATATACCATAAATATTAGATCTCATAGTTTTAACAGTGATAATCAATTATCCAATTTACCAATCATGAATTGCTATAGAATATTCTGAAGAAAAAGATAATAAGAAAACTCCATCATATGAAAATTCTAAACAATAAATCATCTTTGTATGAAAATCATTTAACATAGATAGAACCTTCTTCGATTCAGCTTCCCAAACAAATATTGCTGTCAATTATTTTTCATTCAAAGCAAATGCTTTTGTTCCTGTTGCTACAATCCTTCCTCGAGGATGAATAGCAATACAAGATATTTCATCTTAATGATATCTAAAATAAGTTTAAGCACAATATTATTATCCTATGGGAATATTAGGATCCATAATGATTCCAACAGTTCCACATGAAAATGCTATTTTTCCATTCTCTAATAATTTAACCCCATTAAGATAATCTTAACCTAACTAATCTGTTTTCATTCCCAAAACATAATCAAGTGCTAAATTACCCTAAGGTAACACATTGTATTTCTTTTCATCAAATTTAAAATTTGTAGGCTATGTAGCTTTAACAAAGGCTTAATATTATTTCTACCCTTCCTATTTGTTCTCTTCTTCATTTAAGTTTAGTCTATAATAATCCTTAGAAATTTAAACATCCTGAATAGATTCACATGCTTGATCTTACTCTATCTAAGCATCCTTATCATGTGACACTTTCCATTACATAATAGATTTATCAGCTCCTCCCAAAGATATTATATATTCATCATCAGCTGTAAATCTAATATTAGTCACATGAGCTGCATGACCTACATATCTTTAATATCCTTGACCTGGTTATGAAGCTGGATATCTGAATATCTTAATTCCAGAATAATCATCAGCTGTCACCAATATATCTCCTTTATTAGATCTATCTACTGCATTAATATCACATCCAGCTGATAATGCTGGCCATACTCCCAATACATGCCAGCCATATATAGCTGTATATGTAGCCCATTTTTCATCTTTATATTTTAGAGCTCCTTCAGGTTATACTTTTTAATTATTTTCCCCTCCTAATTCATAATAAAGAACTTATTAACTCCAATCATTTATCTATAATACTCTACATGTAGATGAAAAATCGATACTGATAACTCTTGCTGGTGAGCCTCGTAATACATTAGTCTTTTTGAAATGATTTTTAATAGAATATATGATGACATCACAACTAGGTGCATCATGACCAACAGCTAATTATTCTGTATCAGGAGAGAATTTGAGACATGAAACTTCAGCATCTCTATCTTTAAAATTAAAAGTTGGCATCAATGTTTTAGGATCAATAATAAGTACAGTTCCATTAGTACTTCCAACAGCTAAATATTTATAATCCTTGCTAATATGGATAGCACTACTGGGATAATCTAATCTCATACAACTTGACATCTTTTTATCTTTAATCAACCAAGAAGCTAAGATATTATCTTCTCCAATTGTATAAAAGGTTGGAAATTTAGGATGCATAGCCAATCCTCTTAAAACTCCTTAAGAATGTCCTCTCATCAAAATCTTACTTTTTGGTCCTTATATTTCCACTATATCAGAACCTCTTGTTCCAAAAACTATATGTGAAGATTTATCTTAATCATTTGGTCCAATAGTAACACTTTAAACTTTGAAATTAAATATTTTTAAGTTTAAATTTAGAACATTAAATTTTTCTTTTGCTTTCATATTTATATCCCATACAATGATAGTTCCATCCTTACTACCAGATACTACTCCTCCTTCTTAATTCTTTTTAGTATGAATAGCTAAGACAGCACTTTTATGAGCATCAACAGCTGTAGTAGCTCTATTACTTTTCCAAACCAATAACTATCCTCTATAAGTTCCTGTTATAACATTATTATCGCATAATGCTATGCATAAGACAGAAGAGAAAGGACATGTTTTTGTATCCCAGATTCCTAGATTCAATTTAACTGAGCCTTGATCATAACTGCAAAAGAAAACTTCATTCTTGCATGCTAAAATCAAGTACTTATCAACTTTATCAAATTTAATATCAAATACAAAAGATCTTGGACCTTTACCTGTAGCTAATAATGTTTGATTTGCATCTCCTTTTAGTCTAGCATCCATTCCTTTATCAACATCATAAACAACCAATGTATGATCATCATCCATACCGACGGCGGCTAATTTCTTACCATCATTTGAAAATGCTAAGCATTATACACCTTAACGTAAGATTCCTTTAAAAGCAGCTTTAGATGGTTCCATTTGATCTTTGATTTCCCAAATATAAATTGGAGGTATTTATCCAGCTTAACCAGTTGCTACATATCTATCATAAACATCTATGCATGTAATATCATCTGTGTGTTCAAAGAAGAATTTCTATTAATTTGTTTAAGGATTATAGACAACTCCTACTGCAGCAGTAAAATAAACTAAATCTTAATTTGCAAATTTAATATTATTTCTAGAATCGAAACTTCTAAATCCATAAATATAATCTAATTCCATAAAAGTACTTGGTGGATTAATATCACCTTTTCCTGGTTTCCAAGCTGAAGGTTATCCATTTTTTACTTAATTTTTCCAAACTTCTTTATTTGGTACTTTGTTTGCTTTAAAATTTTAATCATTTTAGAATTAGATATTATCCTCTTCAAAATTAGACTCAATTCCAATCTTTCTCATTTCTCTTTTCTAATCATATGCCAACAATTTCCTCTATGTTTCACTTTCTAAATCAGAATCTGGATATGGAATATCTCCTTATTATGCTCCTCCAAAATCAGATCTCAAATCTTCTAAGGAACATAATCCATAGGATAAAAGCATTTTAAGTACATCTTGATCTTTTGATAAAAGACTATAAAAATAATTAAGAAATAATACAAACCTTTAAAATTCAGATAATGATATTGAGGCATCCTTATTTGTATCATACTTTCTTAGTAATTCATCTGAAATTCTTTCTGCTTCTTAGATTGTACATTCACCTTTCTATGACATTGCTCCCAAAGCTGTCAAAGTTGTCTTTATTAAAATGACTAATTCATTTCTAGTTATGGTTTTATTATGATCAAAATCATATAATGAAAATATAATATTTGCTTTATCCTTTGAGATAATGATTGTATAATATACCTTTAAGGTTGCTTAGCTCAAAAGACTCAAAGCACATACAAATTCATGACTATCAATTCGACCATCATTACTGATGTCAAAGAATTAAAACACTTTATCAACTTCTGTCTCTTTCAATTTCATCAATTGAATAAAGCCATTTCTATCAATAGTGAGATCCTCATCTGCCATCAATTCAAATTTCTCTCTAAAACACAATTTGTTAATCAAGATTACTTTATCAATTTAACTTAACCAGGTGACATGTTCATGAATCTTTTCATTTATTCCAGGTCTCCTGGACTTCCATTAGAAATCTCATTACCCATCGGTTATTATTTATATATTTATATTTATTTATATTGATTTATCCTTATAACTTTCTACAATTATATATTTTATATACAATAATACATTTCTATTTAAATGAATACTACACTTCTATAAATTATGAAAGATTTCGTCAATTAAATAATACATTTTGTTATCCATTTTCATTATTAATAATTACATGAACTAAGATTACCTAGAAAACAGATAGCAAGTTCTATGTCTCAAATATCAACCTACAAGTACAAGCAATTATCGTAATCAAATTGTTTGGCAACCTTAAAATGATAATCTGAATAGTACATTACTTTTGGCCCAAAGAATATTCAGAGAATATAAGTAAAGTATTGATTGGATCTATTGACTCTATAGATAAGTTTTAGGTTCGAAAGGTTTCTATTATTCAATAACAATAATAATAAGATAAAGAAATAGATCAAAAAAAGTAGAAGACAACAATAAATGACTCAAAGAGATTTCATATGTATAGTAATCCTAAAAACAGAAAGATTAAGCAATTGAATTCTACTGCTAATAATTCTTTCTATTCAAAGAAAAGCACAGAAAAACAGTAATAATAATAATCACCAGTCAAACCTAAGACTGCTATTGCTAGACCTAAAAGAATGTTACCTTAATAAATTTCTATTGCTCCAATGGATATTCCATTTGTGTCTGCATAAAGTTGGTGTATCTTTAATGGAAAGAATGGACAATTAATGAGTGGTTATAATCAATATAAAAGCAGATAAATGGCTTCAATCACTAAAATAATGACTTGTTGGTTAGCACTAAAACTCACGCAGTAATTTAATTTAGACCTTGATAATACATATTTCACAGTACCTGAAAAAGTAGTTCATAGCATAAATATAGGCAGAAAGAATTGGAGGAACATCAGCTCAACTCTAAAGTGGTGATAAACTTACCATTAGAGATCTACTTTATGGTCTAATGTTACCGTCTGGCAATGATGCTGCTATCTCCCTACAACATAATTTTGAACTTAATAAAGGTTGTGATTTTATTTAACAAATGAATCAAAATGCATAAGATATTGGAATGGAATTAACATCCTATGCTAATCCACATGGTAAATATGCTTCTTTAATAAAAAAAGGTTTGTATCATGAATCCAATTATTCTTCAGCATATGATATTGGTATCTTGACTTATCATGCCTTGTAAAATCTATAATTTGCAAGCATTGTCAAAACCAAAATCTATTTTAGTGAAATTGAAGATAAATTTGGTGAATCCAAAGAAATCTTTTGGGAAAATACAAATAAAATGTTATATTAAGGATTTAGAGGAGTTAAGACTGGTATAACTAAAGAAGCTGGTCCATGTGTTGTTGAATATTACGAAGACAATTAAAATTCTTTTATAATTGTACTTTTAAATTGTAGATCAGTTGATCATAGATGGTAGGATGCCATCAAATTATTAGATTGGGCTAGATCATGAAATCAATTAGAATGATACACAATTAATTATATATTGTCTATATATTGTAATTTTGTTCAACTTTATTATCCTTTGAATCCACTTGGAGCTAATTATGTATCATGAATAATTTCTCTGTGAGTAGTCCATACTGATAAAATTGCTTCAGGTGTACCAATACCTGCTCCTCTTGGATCACCACATGGTCCAAACCAATGATTTTAAGGAGCACCTGTAGTTCTTGCTCTTATACCACTAAAAATATTATCATCTCTATTTACCTATATGTTACTCCATTTGTTGTATTTGATTAAACATATCTTAAGAAATTTACATCATTACTCACTATACCAGCTGTTAAATGATTCTCAAACTAATTTATAATTTTTAAAACATCATCTATTTAATTTGAAGAATATGTTGTAACAATCTAAAATGGTCCAAATAATTCTTTTGTCACCTATTTATTATTCAATATTTAATTTAATGGAACATAAACAGCTGTTGCCTCATATGCACCATAAACTGATGGAATTTAATGATTTTTTAATTCTTAACCTCCAAACAATATTTTAG